CTCGGAGTTTTCTGCGAGCGCTTCGTGCTAATTTTGCCGATTCGGCGCGCGAGAGGGCAGGTACCACTGAAGTCCGTATTCGCGCGTTTGGACCTGGCGTCTCAGCGTGTGCCACTCCATCCATCTTGTTATACAAGCGGCTACCTGGCTTCATGTACATCATCGTGACACCATACTCTTCTCCAGTAGAAGTAATGCCGCCACCGGGGATTTTGCGGCTGTCCTTGTCGTAGGCGACACCCCAAGTGTGAAGCACAGGCTCTGTTCTGGTCCGCCCAAATCCTTGTCGAGGCTTCAAGGGGGCGGCATGATGCAGCTTGAGCGCGAGCTTCGACGACCGCGCGCGATCTGCAACTCACGTTGAAGAATGCCATGTCTGGCTTAAATGTCCTCTTGTGGTGATCCGCCGCTTCACGCAGGGCTTCAAGATGACGTTGACGAGATTCACGGCAGATCTTTACGCCGCCAGCGCATTGCTCCATCTTTGCAGCTGCTTCTAGATGCCTCGCAGGCGGACTCTCTGCCGAAACCAATTCTTCCGGCTCTGCCCAAAGCCGACCGTAGCCAGACTTCGACTTTGGCGACTCGAGCGGCAATGCGTCGACGTCTGCAAGCGACGAGAATGGACCTAGTCGCTGTTTAATATACATTCTCCCAGCCTTAGGGCCGGGCTTTCCCCTCGAGGCAGATTGTAGATCAGTCAAAATTTGGTGTTTGACGTGGCGACCGGGAACATGGTTTGGATCGGTCAAACCGTGCGAATCCTCAGCTCGTTCCCAGGACCGCGTCGATGCAGCGTCATGATCGTAGAGCGTTTTTGCATGGGTCGAGGCCAGTCGATTGCCAAGGCGAGAGCCATCGGACCGTAGAGGAAGCCCAACAGTATAACTGTCAGGCGTGGCTTCCCCAATGTGAGATGCGTGGGGTGGATGCTGATACATTGGCCTTGTGAGGCCGGATGTGCGGATATTGGCCACCGATTTTGGCGGCAAAATCGCCGACAAGTCACCCATGTTGGATTGCATTTGCTGCGCGACTCCACGAGAGCTTTCCACCGAGTGTCCAGCGAGCGCACGTAACGCCGACTCCCATCCGTCGTTCGTCGGACCCGTGCGCCGTGTCAGACTCTTGTAGGGGAAGAAGTGAAGCCACGGTGAGTGTCCATGTTGGACATTTTGTCAGCGAGCCACTCACCTCGAAGCTGAGCGAGGCCCTATGACCGGTCACGCACGA